GCACAGCCCTTGGGGTCCCAGTGTTTCTTTTGCCTCTGCCAGTTTCGCTTAGTTATTTCATCCTTATTTCTTGCTGCTGACTGTCACCCTTCATTTCGTGTGGCAGGAGAATTACCATCTCTGCTGTTCGAGATCAGCAGCGAGGCTGGGTACCAGGTCCCACTTTCAAATTCCTAGGGAAGGACTGGCCTGGTTTCCACTGTGTCTGCAATCTAGTTCACAGCGATGTGAACCAGGCTGTCTCTCTGGACTGAAACATTTCCCAGAACACTTGGACAAGCCACAGTTTTAACAATATTACCTTATGTAACCTCTAGTAATCCTTAAACATTTGATTAGCAATCTTTGATTTTTTTCCCCCTTAGCATATAGCATGACTTTGAAGAATGATTTGGGTGTGTCACAGTTTTCCAGTGAGGGAATCGAGAGGCATACCTGTCATTGGTGATGTTTGGGTTAGTTTGTTGCGTGTTTGTTTTTGTTACTGCATTTTCAAGAGGAACAGCTGACCCAACGTTTTCTCCTTCAGCTCTTTCTTGCTGTCCACTTATTCAAGCAGATTGGTATCAGGTGAAAGTAAAACCTGTCTAGGGAAAAACATCACTTAGACTACTTCACACTGCACCAGAAAGCCATAAAAGTCATTGCTCGGTGATGGGACTTTTAAAAGGAGCTATGAAATCTTTTTCTAAAATTATAAAGACAATAGCCTGTCCTCTTTCTGTTTGTACCTTGACAAGTGTAGGAACTCCAAGTGAAAGTATCATGATAGTGAGAAATGAAGGCTAGGGTTACTTAGTCATAGCTGAAATACGGCAACAGCAGGCCGAGTGCCCAGTGAGGGCTGCCCTGAACAGCAGTGTTTGTAGGGCACAGGGAGCACCAGGTCTGTGGGGGGTGCGGGGTGGGGACTATGTCACCGGCATGAAGGCACAGGTGAGGCAGGGCGAGCAGGTTTAAGATCACCTGGCTTGAATAATTTCAGCAGGAGTGATGTCCTAGTTGTCTGGTACCTGGCCCTGAGTGATGAGGTGTGGGGATAAGTGGCCCTGAGTGGGAGGGCTTCAGAGAGAGGTGGTGGGGTGTGGGCTCTGGTCGGTAGGTTTGCACATGAAAGTGAGTTGTTCTGCGCCTGTGTAGAGTTACGGTTTCCCTCGTGCGCTCTCATGACGTCTAAAGCAGGTCTCCAGGTCAGCACTCGCAGCAAGACTGTCAGGGATGCACGGGACCTCCCAGTGCCCAGCGTAGGATCAGCTGAGACACGGGAAGGAGATCTTAGATAAGTGAGGGCCTTTGGCACGTGTTGGGGTGCAGTCACATCTAACTGAGACTGTCAGGAAAAGCCTGTAAGCGTTTTCAGAACTCCCCATGTCAAAACAGCCCATGCTGGTTCCCGGGTGTGCCTTAATGTCAGCATGCCTGCTAGCAGGGAAAGAGGCAAAAGGTATTTACTAGCTTTGGATGCGTTTTGGACCTGCCAGTGGGACCTCTGTGTGAGGTGTGTGTAATTAGGGATCTGCCTATTTGAACAGTTGTGGAGACGGAGAAATGTGGGTGATGGCCGGGAGCTGCTGTGCTGGCATGTTTCTGGGCCTGCGAGGAAGGTGTGGGGAAAGGGCAATCTGTCAGCCTGAGTCCATACAGAACGAGTGTGGAAGGGGGGTGTTATACAGTCAGCTTTCAGCTCCTGAGTCTCATATTTACCCCCAAGTCTTGTGACTCCCTCTTTTCAGATTATGATTTGAAAGCTAATTCGTACTTGGGCTGCTCACAATCCAGCGTTACAGCAGACTGCAGATGAGCTCTGAGCCCCGTCTGTCCCTTCCCCCGCAGTGCCATCTTCAGGTACCGCCGACCCGCCCCCCCACCCCCGCCCGCCGGTCTGCCCCTTCCCTGGCAGTGCCATCTTCAGGCACCCCCCAACCCCCCGCCCGCCGGTCTGCCCCTTTCCCGCGGTGCCATCTTCAGGCACCCCCCCGCTCGCCGGTCTGCCCCTTCCCGCAGTGCCATCTTCAGGTACCCCCCCCGCTCGCCGGTCTGCCCCTTCCCGCAGTGCCATCTTCAGGTACCCCCCCGCTCGCCGGTCTGCCCCTTCCCGCAGTGCCATCTTCAGGCCCCCCCCCCCCCCGCTCGCCGGTCTGCCCCTTCCCCCGCAGTGCCATCTTCAGGCCCCCCTCGCCCGCCGGTCTGCCCCTTCCCGCAGTGCCATCTTCAGGCACCCCCCCGCTCGCCGGTCTGCCCCTTCCCGCAGTGCCATCTTCAGGCCCCCCCCCCCGCTCGCCGGTCTGCCCCTTCCTGCAGTGCCATCTTCAGGCCCCCCTCGCCCGCCGGTCTGCCCCTTCCCGCAGTGCCATCTTCAGGTACCCCCCCGCTCGCCGGTCTGCCCCTTCCCGCAGTGCCATCTTCAGGTACCCCCCCGCTCGCCGGTCTGCCCCTTCCCGCAGTGCCATCTTCAGGCCCCCCCCGCCCCCCGCCCGCCGGCGGCCCTGTGCTTTTCTGTGGGCGGCAGGTCTTTGTTGCTTGGTTTCTTTCTAGTTTTCATGGAACGAGTCCCTGCTGATCAGTTTTCAGTATTTTTCTCTCCTCACTTTATGCTTTTATTAGGTTTGTTAATGATTTTTCTTTTTTCCTTATGAGGAACTTGGTTTATTGCATTGTAATTAGTCACCACCCTAATGCGACCGCTCTAATTGATTCTGCACGAAAGAATGACGACTCAGCAACTCCTGCACTTCGCCCGAGCCCTGTGTGTCTGACCCTTGGCGGCACGCATCCCCTGCTCCGCGTGCACCTCTTCTCCGCATGGCTCAGCGTGGTTGGCGGTGCGCTGGTCAGCCTCTTCCTCAGCCGGCGACTGCCTTCATAGTCCTGCCGTCAGAATAACAGTCAGCAGTATAAGAGACGTTAGACTACTGCAATTTTTGAGCGTGGCCACCTGCCAGGCCCTGCTCCAAGTGGGCGTGGATCCGATAGTCAGGACGCCGTCCTGTGAGGGGGACTGCTCGCCCCAGTCTGCGGGGCGGGAACGCACGAGGCCATGTGCCCTCGCGGTGCCCCGGGCGTAACAGACGGAGCAGTGTTTGAATCGGAAAGCCTGGCCAGCCACCAGCCTGATGGACATAAGGCAGAAATAGTCGGTGAAAACATAGGATACTTGAACACAACTTTTTCTTTATAGCTGTCACCCACTTTTGCCTTCTTCTGCTTCATTTTCCGTACTACCTCCAGCAGGCCCTTTGCGAGTCAGCCCTTATTCGCCCTTTAGATTGTGGTCTGTCCCGGCCACAGCGGGCCCGTGATTCCTCCGCGATGCCAGCACTCCGCCCCCTCGCGGTTTCTGCAGCCTCTGTCCACGCACCTGTGTGGCCGGATAAATATCTCTTCCTCGCTAGTATAAAGTTCCACTGGGGACTTTGTGAGTTTTCACTCACCATTGGGTCCTCCTCACCTCATACACTGCTGGGTACGTGTGAGGTGACGGGGCCCAATGGTGAGTACTTACCAGATGCATGAACAAAGGCTATGAAGAAAGTGAGGAAAAGCAAAGGTTGATTCTACGCTGACCACCTTCTGGCTCCGTAGCTACAGTATAGCGATCTGTTATTGTACCAGGTGGAAATAGGTTCTACTTCAGGTTACAGACAACCCAGCTGCAGTGGCTTAAACAGATATATCCATCTCACACAAGAATTCCAGATTGGCATTTCAGGCTGGTCTGACTGCTAACAGCTGTCACCAAGTAACAGATGTCACCAAGGCCCTAGGCCTTCTGTGTTTCTGCTCCTGCAAATTGGGCAACATGCTAGTCTTGACGAAATGACAGTCACTGGATTTTCTACTGTGGTGTGAGCAGAGATTTGTTTGTTGCATGAGTAGAAGATGTGATACTCAATATACCTCCTTAAACAAAAATTTTTATTTTATTTATAATGTACTTTTTGAGAGAAACAGGAAAGGAATTCCCAGGATAATGGGGAAGACTTTCCTGAGGGGTCTGGTGATCCTTCACAGTCTGTTCTACTGAAGTCTGAGCTATTCAAGCTGATTGGAGACTGTGTGGGGAGGGATACTTGACAGGTGTTACTGGAGGGTGGCCTGGTTGGCAGTTCAGTAGGAGGATGCCCTGGTCCAGCGTTAATGTTTGTAGCTCTTTTCTGTTCACAGTCTTTCCAGGGAAGAATGTGCTGGTCTCTTTTGGGGGTGGGGGAAGGAATGAAAACCAGGCCCCAGTGTTCTGGAAGCCGTGTGGAGGAGGGAGCTGGCACATGGGGAGCATGTGTCTTACCAGGCAGTGCAGACTTTGATTAATGATCCTGGCTTCAGTGTGCTGCCTACCCCAGCCTTGAGCTGGGACTAGTGTCTCTAGTCCAGATCCTCAGATCCACCTTTTCCAGAGAGTAAAACGTGCTGGGTGGGTGGAAGAAGGCCAGCCAAGAAGGGAGAAGGGATGCGTAAATTGATTTTGAAACGCCAGTTCTGTTTTCATATCCCTCCATCGCCCGTTTCATAGACACCTGGCATCTCCTGTTCTTGCGCTTTGTGGGGGAGAGTGGGCGAGGTTCTGTGGCTCAGGTGAGCTTACTTCTCCCTCCACAGCAGCCTAGATATGTCTCTTCTGTATCTTAATTTGATTAAGCTCTGCCCACAGTTTTAGGGCTCTTGTGTCCTGCTCTTAATACTTGGGTGTGTGCCTTTTCTCTCTCATATTCAGTGGAGAAGGAGGGAAGGTGAGAATGCGTGTGTTCGCTCACTCGTGCTTACCTGGACATCTTGCATATGTTGTTCTGTAAAATAGAATTGTAGTGTACATCTGTCTTTGATCTCTATAAAATTCATACAAGTTTTCAACCTCTGTTGCATATTTAGCTGATTCTCTCATGTAGAAATGACAGGACGATGAAAATTCCTGGGAAAGAGAATCAATTTTCAAGGGAATGAAGACTCTAGACTTGTTGAAATGTGCAATGAGTCTTTTTAAAAATGTCTTTTTAAATTTTCAGATTGTGAGCCATGCCTTTAGTGAAGAGGAACATCGAACCCCGGCACCTGTGCCGGGGTGCCCTGCCCGAGGGAATTACCAGTGAACTTGAATGTGTAACCAATAGTACCCTTGCTGCTATCATACGCCAGCTGAGCAGTCTCAGTAAGTAATTGCATTTCTAGAACACCTTTTTTCTGATTACTAATGGCATTTTATTGATGTCAGTATTAGCAAATAAATTTCAATTCAGTAGTTATGTGCTTGTCCAAAGACAAGGCTGCAGCTCTGAGGGAAGGAACCGCCCTTCCCCCTCCTACATGTCCTGGTGTGAAATTAATGGGCACCCTCTCTGGTCCTGTGATACCGACTTCATGTGAGGAAGACATAAAGTTAGAATTCACCAACTCACAAATTAGTAGATGAGACCAAATGAGTAGGTATAGTGTTACACAATTTTTAAAAGCTTATTAAAATGAGGATAATATAATTTGTTTTTTAAAATCTTATTGAAGCATTTTGTTAAACTTGGACAGGATTGACTTTTATTTAAAATGTAGTAAATTGAAAATTAGCACTGGTAATACACCTGGTACAGAGTAGATGCTCACTAAATATTTGTGGATTGAGTAATATTCCAAATTAATCAAAGATTAAAGCCAAAAAGTCATGAGATTTGCTGATTTTCAACCTACTAAAGACTAAAAGTTAAAATTCAGCAACTGACTTCCAAATTGAAGTCAAATACAATTGTTACATATATTCAGTACCATGTACATAATTATTACATACACAGCTTATAGAAACACAAGCATAAGGAAAAACTTTCTATTATTCTAATTTTGAACATTCATATGAAATACCCAAGGAATAGTCCATGTTTTAAGACTCAAGTATGTGTTTGAAAGTGCTTTTTTCTTCAAAGCTCTTCGAAGTTGCAGTGGTTTCCCCTCTAACTTGTACATTTATATCATCATCTGGTTTTTCACTTCTTCCCACTCCTTTTGGTTTAGATGGTTTATACTGCATTTTGGGTGACAGATTTTCTCAGTTAAGTTTTTCAGAAACTTTCTTAGGAACTAGAAAATCCTCCATAAAATTTCACATACTGGTAGCCTCAAACACAGGAAGTGTTTTCTAAAATCCCTCAAGTAACTTTTTTTTTTTATCCTCACCTGGGGACACTTTTTCCATTTATCTTTAGATAGAGCTGGAGGGAGTAGGGGGGAGAGAGAAAGAGAAACATCGATGTGAGAGAGACACATCGAGTGGCTGCCATCCACATGACCCCAACTGGGGTCAGGGACAGACTGCAACCCAGGTACGTGCCCTTAGCGGGAATCAAACCCAGGACTCTCTGGTCCACAGGCCGATGCTCTAACTGCTGAGCCAAACCGGCCAGGGCTCAAGTATTTTTTTTTTTCTTTAAAGAAAAAACACTATGGATAGATAAGTATTTTTAGAAAGAATTGTACTGTATCATTACTCATTAATTTTTAATATATCTGTAGTCATTGGCTAAGTCAAAAGTAACTTGGAAATTACTTAAATGTATTTCACAATAGATTTCTTGTGGAATTACAATTATTGATTTTTGGTAGTGGTTGTTGATAAAATGTAAATATTTGTATAATTACAGGAAGATATCTTGCAAAGTATTGAAGGGTAAAATGTTTCTGTTTGCATTCATGCATTTTTGTAAGAACTCTTTAGTCTCCTGTTTTAATGACTGAAATATCTATACTGGCAAAGCATGTAACTGATGAAAACCCACACAAACTGTTAAGGTTTTAACAGTCGAGCTGCGTCTCCTGCTATAGTGTTCAGGTTAGTGTCATGTCACTGTGGTACCTACCTGGCCACTGTCTCTTGTAAGTGAAACCAGTCACACAGTGTGTTTTGTTTCACAGAGTCCCCTTGTGGTAGGCAGAATAGTAGTGGCCCCTCCAAAGGTGTCCATGTCTTAACCCCGGGACCTGTGGGCATGCAGCTGTCCTGTGACATGGCCAGGGGGAATTAAGGTTACTATCTGCTGACCTGAGGAGAAGCCGGTCCTGATTCTCCAGTGGGCCCAGTGTCCCACAGGGGTCCTTTAAATGTGGAAGAAGGTGGTGAGGGAATCAGTGCCAGAGAGCCGTGGTTGAAAAAGACTTGGTTGGCCATTGCTGGCTTTGGGACAGAAGACGAGGACACGAGCCAAGGGACGCACAGCCTCTGGAAGGAGCACAGCTCTGCCAACACCTTGATTTCCGACTTCTGACCTCTGGAGCTGTGAGAATTTCTATCTGTGTTGGCTGAAGCCATTACATTGGTGGTGATTTGGTACAGCAGTCCTAGGAAGCTGATGCCCTGCTCGAGCCCTGGTCACCTTTTGTGCACAGAGTCCTCTGTAGCCTCCTGCGAGGCACCGGCCGCAAGGACAGCCTCAGTTAGGCTGCCTCGGTGGGTCTCCACCCTCTATCTCCCTGAGCCACCTGGGGAGCTTTAAAACAAGAGGCTAGAAATCACTCCAGAGATTGTGATCGGAGTGTGCACCAGACACGTCCTATGAATTCGATTCTGTGCTTCTGGATTGAAAAGATGAGCTGGATCGGTGAGGTTCTCTTGGGTTTGGACTGAGAAGCACAGTGAAACTGCTAGTTTCTTCTGGAGTCTCCTGCTGGAATGCCATCCAGCACTGAGGAAATCATGACGGCTGCCTGCTAGCCAACGTTGTGGAGGGACAGAGCTTGTGAGAAGACCAAGGAAGCAAGTCAGTGAAGAAAGGCAAAATAATGTGCAGGGAGAAACTGGAGCTGAACATGAGAGACCACCGGGCCCTGTGAGGAGGAGAGAGCAGCAGGTCCCTGGACCTGCACCGGCACAGTGCTGGGTGTTCTCAGAGCAAACCCCCCTTCAGGTCCCTCCAGGGCTCCTGTACTCGCAACCCAGAGAGCCTTACGAACAGGAGTCTGGCCATAGTCTGCCATGGAGGTAGTTTGGGAAAACCAAGGTACTAAGTGATTAATTGTTGGTAGACTAGCAAATTATTGATTACCAGTGATTTATGTATTAGTGCTTACTCAGTACCCCTCTAGGTGCTGCATACAGCAAATAAAACCAATTTGGTGTCTACTTCGAATTTAAAAAAAATATTATTTGACATCAGTATGGTCATAAAATAGGAAATATATGCAATTATTATGACCTCCTACAATACCAGCACATAATGACATCTAGGTTTTGGGTCAATCTTTATTTTTTGTGGGGTTTTCCACTGAGTAGAAACATTACAAGAGATGAAGTAAGTTACATGCAAAATTCTTGTATGATCTAAAACTGTTAGGTAGAATAAGAATTTAAAGTAATGTTTTTATGTTATTTTCTAATTTTGTAATCATTCATCAGATATTTTTAAAGTTTTAGGAATGCATGAGTCTATTATTAAAAGTCTTTTACTGCATATTAATTCCCAAGATAATATTAAAACAGTATATTTTTATTCCTTTGAGTATTGGACCATTGTTTAGTAGGTCCAGATAAGAATGGGCCATCTTAATCTTTCCTACTTTTCTAACCCTCCTACACCCCCATTTTTAAAAACTTCCAACCACTTTGACCCGCAGATTAGGGGTAGGTGAAGTACAGTTATTTGAACTTCCTGTAAGTGATACAAAGAGAGGCTAGACTTTGTCTACAAATGCCAGTTTGGGGGAACGTGAAGGATTTGCCTGGGCCCTAGATGGGTCATACCTACCTGAGCAGCAGATTTGCCCTGGGAGGCGTCTAGAGTAACTAATTCTTGGGTGGGTCTAAGGAAGGAAGAGCAAACCAGGAGTCCAGACTGCATTTCTTTGATCTTTTCCAAAACAGGAAGACTAGAAGTTGAGGCCCTGATTCACCAGATCATTTTGAGTCTCATCATCTCTCCAGTGGGGCAGTTCATGGGTATGAAGAGATAAGTGATGCAGAAAGCCGAAAAGAATCTGGTCCTAGATACTAAATAGACCTCTGAACCCCCTACAACTCCATGTGGCTTTTGGGAAATCTATAGGGTTTAAATTTTTTTTTTTTTACCAGTGACCATGTTCACATGACATCCAAGTTAAATACTTGACTTTAAAGAGCCAGAACTTTGGTCAATATTAGATTTTTACCAGGTTTTTCAGGGATTTGAAGTCTTTATAATGAGAAAATATTGATTATTGGTATAATTATGGAAATGAAAGGGGAAATTTATAATTTGAATAGCCTTATAGTTAAAGATCAAAAGCTTTGTCTAATGAAAAAGAAATTAGTCTTGAGTAATTTTCAGATTTATTATTTTTATTTTTTTGAGTGTAACTAACTTCTAATATGAATGATCTGGGACAGGGCAGGTAGAAGGGGAAGGAAAGCCACTTTTAAAAACAGTTCTGGTTAGTAGTGTGTAAAAACATCCTTGGTTTTCTAGCTATGGAATATTAATATTTTTTTCTTCAAATAAAGACAGTTTAGTATAACAATTAACATTAAATCAGTAGTGCTTTTTTATTTCATTTTCTTTGATGAATAATCTGAATTCCCTTGTTCCTGTCAGCTAGTTGCTCAGTGAAAATCATAGCATCTTGCAATCAAATTCCTACTGATATAATAATGTAATTTTAATATAATTTGCTTAAAAAAGGAAATGGGAACATAGGGCACTTGTGCCAAGGATAACACAGTCCTTTTTAATGTCCCACAGGCTGTTTTTGCTCCTTCTCTCTTTGTTCTTGTCATAATACCTGTCTTCCTCTCCCTTTGGAAGAAGGCCCCCAAGATGTCACAAAGAAAGGAGTTAGGACTTTAGTGCATCCCAAGGTTTTTGGTTATTTTTAATTGTACTAATAAGATAATATAGAGAACTTGGCCCTGGCCGGTTAAGCTCAGTGGTTAGAGCACCAGCCCGTGGACCAAAGAGTTGCGGGTCTGATTCCACTCAAGGGCACGTACCTCGGTTGTGGTTTGTCCCTGACTCTGGTGGGGGTCGTGCAGAAGGCAAGCAGTCGATATCTCTCTCTCACGTTGATATTTCGCTCTCTCCCTCCCTCCCACTCTATCTCAGGATGAATGGAAAAATATCTTTCGGTGAGGATTAAAAAAGTATATATATAGAGAAAGAGAACTTAGCACAGGAAAACACAAAGAAAAACATAAAATTTTTA